CTTTTCTTTAGGGCTCCGAAGGTGACGTCCAGGCGCCTTCAAATGCTCCGCAGCGCCTTAGGCGTACTCCTGCATCGCAGCCTTGCCTGCGTGAGGCGGGAGCCTGGGGAGGAACGTGCAGCCCGTGCACTGCAGCCTTAGAGCTGAGCCTCTGGAAGCTGCCACCTCGGTCTGCACCTCTTTTCTTTAGGGCTCTGAAGGTGACGTCCAGGCGCAGCGCCTTAGGCTTACTCCTGCATCGCAGCCTTGCCTGTGTCAGCACCTGGGCTGCATCACCGCAAGCCGCACCTGGTCAGCTCTGAGCTGCCAGGCAAAGCCCTCACACACGGTCGCCGCTCCGCATGCGTTGTCCTTTGTTGGCCAGATGGCCATTGGAATCCCCCAACTCCAAACTCATCATATCATGTCAAAACCATGGCCCCTGCAGCACCCCCGCCCACTTTGACCGTGCACAGTACTTGCACTCCCTACCTTCAGCTTCCTGAGGCTAGAACGCCCATCTTTCGTCCACAGACGGGCATTAGCCCCGCATCGCGCCCCTCCCTGTTCTATCCTCCGCCCCGTCCACGCCCATCTTCCGTCTCATCTCGTCCGTCCACGGACGGACGTTGGCTTTTCATCGATCGTCCGCGGTGGACTTGAGGGATTCTCACTGCCACCGTGCCAACACCGGACCACGCCCACAGACCAGCGACCGCTCGTAAGAAGCAGTGATGTCAGCACCTGGGCTGCATCACCGCAAGCCTCACCTGATCAGCTCTGAGCTACCAGGCCAGGCCCTCACAAACGGTCGCCGATCCGCGTGCGTTGTCCTGTGTTGGCCTGGCCAAATGGCCATTGGAATCCCCAAAGTCCAATTTCATCATGTCACAACCACTGCCCCTGCAGCACCCCGGCCCACCCCGACCGTGCATAGTCCTTGCACTCCCTACCTTCAGCTTCCTGGGGCTAGAACGCCCATCTTCCGTCCACCGACGGGCATTAGCCCCACATCGTACCCCTCCCTGTTCTACTCCTCAGCCCCGTCAACGCCCATGTTCCGTCTCATCTCTTCCGTCCACGGACGGACGTTGGCTTTTCA